GGATGGCCCAAGTCCTTTGGTGCTTGTACCCACGTGGGAGATCTGGAAGAAACTCCTGGCTTCGGATCCATACAGTTCCAGCCATTATGGCCATCTGGGGAGTGAACCAGTGGATGGAAGACCTCTCTCTCTGTCTCTCCCTCTCTCTATAACTCTGCCTCTCAAATAAATAAATACATCTTTATAAAACAAAACCCAGGGCTCTATATTGGTGCAGGAAACCAAAGGAGCACAAGGGCACCCAGCTCCTCGCTCTTCATTTCTTGTCCTGAACTTTTTCTTTCCCCTCCAAGGGTGTGTGTGTGTGTGTGTGTGTGTGTTACAGAATGAACTCCAGGGATTTTGAACTTATCTATCCATAGCCGTCGGGGGGAATTCTCTCATTCACAAGCAGGTGTCAGGCTAGCCCTAAGAGGCCTGAGGAATTTTAGACATGTCTGGTGAGTCACCTGCTCCCAGGTGACCTAATGAGTAAAGCAGCTGGGTGGGGACTGCAGCAAACTGGGTCACCCCTTCCTGTCTGAAGGAGGCAACCCCTCCTCAGCCCCAGCCCAGAGCTGCGAGTGGAACAAGGGTCCAAGGGGGGACAGACCTTTCCATTTTTTTCCCCCAACAGAACCTAGAAATCAAGATGAAATCTGTTAGCGACTTTTGTTTTTAAAGATTTTTTTATTTTGAAAGGCAGAGAGAGACAGAGACAGAGAGAGAGGTTCCCTCTGCTGGTTTACTCCCCAAATGGCTGCAATGGTGGGGCTGGGCCAGGCCAAAGCCAGGAGCCAGGGGCTTCGTCTGAGTCTCCCACACGTGTGCAGTGGCCCAAGAACGTGAGCCACCTTCTGCTGCTTTCCCAGGCACATTAGCAAGGAGATGGATTGGAAGTGGAACAGCTGGGACTTGAACCGGCACCCATAGAGGATGTTGGCATTGCAGGTGGTGGCTTTACCCATTATGCCATAATGCTGGCCGGCCCCGTGACTTTTGTTTTTAATAAGCTGAATAGAACACAGCTAGAGTCCATGGGTCACCATTTTTGCAACATCTGATCTGAATGAAAATTAGCAGGGTGGGCTCTCAAATGCTATGAATTGAAGGAGTGTTGGAAAAATGTCCTCATTCCTCTGTCCTCCCTAGTGTAGCCCATATTTCCATTATGTAAAAAGTTTTTGGTAGAGACAAAGAGAGAGCGAGCAAGAGCAAGCGAGCCCCCATCTGAGGATTCACTCCCTAAATGCCTGCAATAGGCAGGATGCTAAAGTCAGGAGCTGGGAACTCCAGCTGCATCTCCAACACGGGTGGCAGGAACCTTAGCACTTGAGCCATCACCTGCTGTCTCCCAGGGTCTGTCCGAGCAGGAAGTTGGAATCAGGAGCCAGAGACAGGGGTCAGGCCTGGGCACTTGGATGCAGGCATCTTAATTGGTGTCTTAGCCATCAGGCCAAGTGTGCGTGTTTTGGGAGGATGAATAATTCCGTAGAAAACGTTTGCTTAGAAAGCAGTTAGACGATGACAAATCTCTTGAAGCCCTGAACAGCCCTATTCTCTGCATCTTTATGTTTTTTCCTTTACTAGGGACAACGGCCGGTAACAGGTGAGAGGACAGATTGCTACAGCCTTTAGAGGGGACACAGAAACAGAGTCGACTCAAAGCGGCCTGAGCAAACAGACTATGAATGACAGGCAGAGTTAGACAGTGAGAGAGAGAGAAAGGTCTTCCTTTCAGCCGGTGCACCGCGCTGATCCAAAGCCAGGAGCCAGGTGCCTCTCCTGGTCTCCCATGCAGGTGCAGGGCCCAAGGACTTGGGCCATCCTCCACTGCACTCCTGGGCCACAGCAGAGAGCTGGCCTGGAAGAGGGGCAACCGGGACAGAATCCGGCGCCCCGACCGGGACTAGAACCTGGTGTGCCGGTGCTGCAAGGCAGAGGATTAGCCTATTGAGCCACGGCGCCGGCCCAGAATGTTCTTTAAAGTGTCGGTTGTAAGCCGATGGCTCCCAAGCAGCAGGTCTTCACCATTCAGGGAGTTGCAGAGTGGAGAAATGCCAGAGCCCAGCAGCGCTGGCGCCTCTTGATCAAGCCGCAGAGGTTGAGCCGGGTTTATAGGAATGCCCCTTATTCTACAGAGCTGGCGTGTTCCAGCAAATGTGAGCACAAAGCAAACTGCCCAAGTGAATCCTATTACCAGCTTCTCTGTATCTAAGGGTCTGGACAATTCAGGGTTGAAGGGCGTGCTTGGGAAGGAATTGGGCACTGCAATGCTTAGTCTGCAGGCATCCTGGTACTTCCCCACAGGGAGGCAGGAGGGCACGGCCTTGAAATCCCCAGGCTCAGAAAGAAGATACTTGGATTTAAACCCAGCTCCTTAATTTATAGGTTGTGTGCCCTTGGACAAAGGGCTTAGCCTTGCTAAACCTCCTCACTCACCTGCAAAGTAGCAATGGTTGTCTTGCCCATACCCAAGGATCACTGCAATATTTAAGTGCGATACTATGGGGGAACCATGTTCAAGGCCCATTGCTTTGTACTTGCCTGTAATCCACAAAAAGCCAGTTTTGCCATAATTTTCCTTGGAAATATTTCTGGACTCCAAAACCGTATCAGTCATGCATCACCTCCCTGTTTTCTGGGACAACAGAAATTTCCCCATGCCTGGAGTCACCCCAGCATGATGAAGTAACGCCTTTTCCCCTTGTTCCTTGGGTACCAGCTATGGTATGCTGTGTCACCACATGATGGCATTAAAGGCTTCTCTTTCATACCTGACCTTGGGGATTTTGAAAAAGCTGAAATTTCAGATATTTTTTAAAAATATTTTTTCATACACACACACACACACACACACACACAACCCTGGATGCACAAAGTTGTGTGTTGGAGTTTGGGTTCCAAGGCAAGCAGACTCTAAGATAGAGATGGCTTTGAGGGGTACTTTGGGACTAATCCTTGTGAGAGTCCAGGAAGCAGAACTGGACCAAATAGATGCTGGGTAGTGATGCATTTGCCACAGTGGCTTCAGACCCTCCAGGTAGACTCTGGAGCTGGAATGATACTAAAGAGCTGTTCTCAGCTGGGGCAAGGGGGCCAGGTCATTCACAGCCCTGTATGAACCTGGCATTGGATGCAGGCCTCCCGGGGAAGGGGAACCCTTTGAACTGAGGACAGTCGTGACTGTGAGAGTAGGGAGTGGTGTCAAAGAAAAGCCCAAGCTGTAGAGCAGTCGAAGATCTTATTCAAGACGATTGCAGTCAGGGGAAGAGACCTCAGTGTGAAACTGGGAATTCTGAATACTGTGTAAGTTGATCTGTTCTTAGAAAGATCCCACTTCTCACCCAGCAGCCACAGTTCAGGCTACTCCTTTGCAGGAATCCATGGTCCTGCTCCACAATTCATCTGGTCCTGGAGGAGCCAGTTCAGAGAATTCAAAGGAGATGTGGTCGGGGTCACTGCCTGTCAGCCTTCAGGTCTCTAGGGGTGGCCTGAGTCCCAGCTGTCCCCCAAAGAAGCAATGTTGTCACTGATTAACCATGTTGGATGTGGGGAGAGAGAAATTTCAAGTTTCCACTTCATCTCTCCCATCAAGCCAACTCTTATCCCACAAACCAAGGAACACATGTGAGTGCTCAGGATGGCCAAGTGTATCCATTGAGGTTATGTGTACACTGGGGGCCCAGGGAACTGACCATGAAGTTTGGCCATGAAGTTGGCTGTGAGCCAGACTTGGTTTATTATCAGATTTTCACAAGCTCACGATCCACTGGACACCATGTTGATACTTCAGGTCTCAGATGTGAATAACTTGGAGCCTCTGTCCAACATCCCTTGAAATATTTGGATTTCTCCCTTTGTCCCGGGTAGAATTTTTTGAGTGAATGACCACATGTCTCCTTGGGAAGGGACGGAGACAATCATTGCCACATACGTTTGCCATGGTGTTACAGGATCGTCCTCCTGGGGACTCATCCTCTCCCTCGGCCAAGGTGTTCAGAGTGTGAAAGTGGGTCAGGTCTGGAAGCTGAGCAAGGGACCTTGACTTTGTACTGGAACAAGGCCCTTGGCCTTCTGATCCTTGATTCCTTGGTTTGTAGATCGAGCAATAGCCTCCTTGTCCGTCCGTCTCTTCCTGCCCCTAGATCTGCCTTATTCACCATCTCCGCAGCTCTAGATGGGCCACCCCTGGAGTGATCAATCATTCTGGTTGGCTGGGGACCGTCCATGTTTTAACACTGAACATCTCACATCCCAGGAAATCCCTTAGTCAATCAACCTAGACTCCCCTCAGCCCCACTAGGATACACTACTGCCTTGCCATTCATTGCAATTGTCGCATCTGTATTGCTTCTGTTGGTTAAGTACTACCTGGTTTTCATTATTTCAGGATTTGCTCATTCCCAAGGAGCCCTGTTTGGTTACTGCATCTCCTGCCCTCAGCTTTAATCCTTAAATGAGGGCCAGCACTGAGCTTTTCAGACAGGCCAGCATCCTTAACAACAGAGCATTTCTTATCACTTTGCTAAATACAGTTTCCTCTCTGCAGGAGGGTTTTCAGCTCTTAAAAATATAACCGTTCCAGCATGCTTACCTCTTAAGGTTTTGTTTCCTTCTTCCAAATCTATCCATGGTGATCTGGCTCTGTCGTGTGGTATTGGCTATTGCTTTCTCCAAGTTTCCAAGGTTCATTCTGCCATTATATGAGTTCTTGCCAGGATATTACAACCTGTATGACGCTAGTGTGCTAAGATAATGATAAGTGCCGCCTTACCCAACTTGCTGATCTGATCGCCTTGACTTAGCACTCTCAGGACTCACCCCACTTTCTCTTGCCTTTGCTGGCACATAGCAATGGCATCCTGCAACCAGCCCATTTGGTGGACACTTCAATTGCTGCCTGGGAATTCCCTGTCCAGGTTTTGTTGGAACTTCACCATAGTAGCTCCTGTTCTAGTGCCAGGAGGGAGGTGGCGAAAGATCTTGAGAAAGGTGAGCTGTGAGGCGGAGGCCTCTGAGTCATCTTGTGGGTTGGAGGGATGGTCTTTAACACGGAGGTGTGAGCTGCTCCTGCAGGCCCAGAGACTTGCAGATCAGCCAGAAGGGGTTGACATACGTAGAGCTCCGCACCCCATCTCACTGTTCTCTGCTTGCTCGGTAGAGTCTGATTTTCGTAACAGTGCTGCCCTAGTTGGGGATTTAACCTTCCTGGGAGCTGGGCTGCTCTCAGGGTTAAGCTCTGGGCCTTATGCTTAGCTCTGTATCCTCTCCTGGCTGCATGAGTTTTGTTCTATTTTTACATTTTATTGACACATTTACTCCTACATATTTATGATTCAAGAAGTGTCTTACATGCTAGCCAGAGGTCCCCTAGCTTTTATATGGAGGCTTTAATTGCTGATGAAACACCTGGAGCCTTTTAGCATTGTTTTCTTTTCCAAAGTGAGTATTTTCTTCTACAGTCACCGTCCTGTTCTGTTGTGTTGACACCACTTTGTCCACGTACTTTTCAACACCATCCATTTCCTCTACTTAGTGTACCATCCCAACTCACCCCTGGGAACAGCCTTTGACAACTGCCTTGGTGCTGCTGTGCGAGGGGCTGTGTTGTCCCAGCTGCCACCAGTCTTGGGGTTCTCAGAGAGTCCGTTTCCTGAGACCATTTTTCAGATTCTTCCTGGCACCATTTGTCACAGGCTGGGTTGCTGGGACTCTGAGATGGGAACTTGTTGAGGGAAGGCTCTCAGGATTAACAACTTCAGAAACAAAGAGAAGGAAGCAGGACTGGACGGAAGTTGGCCCTAGATGATCCCATGGGGACCTCTGGGGCTGGGATCGCTGTACCTTGGGGAGAGGGAGAGCAAGCATGTGTACCCCAGCATTGATTAGAATCACCAGTCACCAAATGCAAAGTGCCCCTAGGAAGAGGACTTTGGGAGTAGGATGCTCAACACTCCCAGCATCTCTGAGCATGAGGGCCTTGGTCCCAGAGGGAAAATCTGGATAGTCCTATATATAGCATCATATTTACCACATGCACTAAAGATGAGGGAAGGCAATACTGAGAAATATGACATAACTGGAAGAGGCCTTTCCTTTCATTTGCTTGAACCAATGCCTATTTGGCTACTGCAGACTTCAAAGTGAAAAAGCCACACTCAGCTCTGGTCTGGTGGGAAAGACTAGCCACAGAATGGTTACTGGGGTGTGGGTGTGCCGACTCTCCCCTCGCATTCTATGCAGAAGGAAGTTGAGTCTCAGGGATGCAGTGTGACCCGACACAGTGTGCAAAATGAGTTCGTGGCCGGTGTGAACTGTGACCCTAGCCTCCCAATTCTCAGCCTAGGACCTTCCCTCCTGCCCTGCATTATCTCTGCTAATTGCTTGGAAATTGTTCAAGGTCAATCATGTTTGTACATGCAAGCAGAAGAAAAAACATGTAAGGCCAGGATGTATATAGAGGATTGTAACTGAGGAAAACCCAATTAATGGCCTAGATGTTCTGTCGGGGGCTCATCATTGATTTGGTCTGGCTTCCCCATCAGAGCTGTTTGAGATTATTTTCTAGCATTTTACTCAAAGCTGATTAACCCTACTGGACTGGTGGGTTAGAGGACTGACTTTGAAAACTTTTTGCATTTTGAATCATTGAGGAGGGGGGAGTACGCGTGTTGGAATCCACCTCTCATGAGAAAAATCGGTCAGAAGTGTGTCTGCCTCTCCCTTTGCTGGTTGCACCTTGACCGAAGGCAAGCGTTTTCCTGGTAACCTTGGCTGCTGTCTGGGACAGGTGAGATCATGGAACGGTGGGGGTGTGAGAGTTGGGCACTGTGGGCACTGACAGCGTCAGAGAATGTTCCGGATTGAGGTAGCAGGGTCAGAAAACACCCCCCGGCAAACGCTCTTTCATGCGGGTGCTTGCAGCGTCTCAGAACAGTCTGGGTGGTCGGAGGGAGCCCTGCAGAGCAAGGGTTGATGTGGTAACACAGGGCCAGCTGGGCTGCTGCCGAGGGCTATCTCGGGGTGAATCATCTCTAGGGCTGGAATCATCAGCTAACGCCAGTTCACTACCTAGTCGCTCTGTCCTTGTCTGAATTTTGCGAGCTCAGGCAGAGTCTGCACTGCTTTTTTGCCATGTCTGAACTTCCCAGCAAACAGCATGTCCACTTCGGAAAGGGTTTGAAGAAGCTGGGATTGGAAAATCTTCACTTCTCACCCGAGATAGTCCATTTCTTCCCATACTTCATCAACAGGTGCGAAACCCCTCACACTGTTGTCCCTTTCTTCGAACTGTGGATTTCTTCGGCCCTCTCCTCCCTTCATTCCTCATCCCCTACCCTTCTACATCCCATCAGTATTTTAACTGAGTGCTAAGAATCTACCGTCAATGCTTCCGCATTCCGGGCTTTATTTTTTACTTACTTTTTCCCTAGGCCCCTAAATTTGTATATTGCATATTTCACTATAAATTTACACATATTCATTACATATCAACATTATATATTAACTTTGTTTTATATTATATAGTGTAAATATATAATATAAATAGTATACTCAAAATATATATATATTTATACATATAGTATATATAAAACATGTTTATAAATATAACACATATTATTTGTCTGGGGCCCAGTGTCAGCACTCAGCAGAATTCATCTATTAACTCTCCTCTACTACTTCCTCCTCTTTAAAGATGCACTAAACTGCTCCACCGTAAGGTGTTCTCCGCTCTGTACCATCACTGCGCCTACCACACGGTTTCAGTTATTTCTCTGGTTTTCAATTTTCCCTCCTGAGCTGCACACCTTCTGTTTAGACTTTATCATATTAATCAGAATATCCTAAGTACCTAGTCTAGTCGCTGATGCTCTAAGGACACTCAATGTGTGTTAAAAGAATGAACTTTGAACAATGGCAACGTGTGCTGACTTAATAAAGAAGGGAAAACTGAATGAGCGTAGTCTGGGGCACAGAGTAGCTCAGTCCCTGCCAACCATGGCAGGGCTTACAAGTGAACAAACCGAGGCCCACTTTCGCTGTTTGTCTAAATAATCAGTTACAAAACCGGCAGACTAACAAGCTGCTAAACTGTTCTCTCCTGCCTTGACACATGCACTTTCACAGCACAAAGTTGAAAGACACGTGAAGAGTTACATATTTTGTGTGACTTGAAGAAGGCAAGACATCAAAGACGTTCAAGCCTAATTAATAGTGCAAATGTTTAAGTATTCTGTTGGTACGCTAACGATGTTGTGATAAATAATGCAGACTTGTACATAACTCATCAATTATGTATCTAGTCCATACCATTTTTTCCCTTTCATTTTAGCAAAAACACTAGTTCCTCTCAGTCAACTTCCCTCCCACTCCCCCCCATTTATGTTCTGTTGACAGTAATGCTGGATTACATAACCTTTCTTGGATCACTGAAGCTTTTAGATCTTTTCTATGAAGGAATTGATTTGAACTTGGAGAAGCACAAACAAATAAGCTCCAATGTACAAGAATATTAAATGTGGCAATGTATTGTAGTTAGTGGTTTATAGTGACAGTAGGAATGAATGAAGCCATCACTGTGAGGATGGTTGAATGACTTTTGGTGAAGCCGCAGCCTATTCGACAGCAGCCACTTGAAGGAATAAACAGGAGCCAGGGCAGTTGCCTTGGAGACAGTTCCATGAGAAACACTTCATTGTGTAGGGGCGGGCATTGCGGCACAGCTGGTTAAGCCTCTGCTTGGATACCTGTGTCCTGTGTAGGAGTACCAATTTGTGTCTCTGTTGCTCTGCTTCTGATCCAGCTTCCTGCTGATGCATCCTGGGAGGCACCAGATGATAGCTCAAGTGCTTGGGCCTCTGCCACCATCTGGGAGAACCAGATGGAGTTCCAGGCTCTTGGTTTTTGGCCTACTCCAACCCTGGCTATTGTGGTTATTTGGGAGTAAACCAGTGGATGGAAGAGCTCTGTCACTTTGCCTTTCAAGTACATTAAAATAGACAGTAAAAAGAAGTGTGTATAAGCCATCTTGTTTCTAAAAAATATATGACAAAAATCTATGCTTGCATTTTTTACATATGTATATATGATTTATTTAGAAATAGAAAAATGGAGGGAAAGCCATTGTTAACTTGTGAGTGCAGAGTAGGGGTGGTGATTATACAGATGTAAAAGACATGGATGTCAGCAAAGAAAAATAAAAGCTAGTGAGAAATAACACTCCACACTTGATTTGACTTCAATTGTTCAATATTGTATGTTTTTATAGAATGTAGATAGGAGAGGGAAGGTTTACATCTGTATTTACTGACATGCAGGTATGTTGATAGCTGTATAATTCTCCAGAGAAATTGTTCTATTTTATTCACAGTGAACAAATGGACTAAACACCCTGTCGAAATGTGTAAAGGTTTTTGAATGAGGAGAAAGTTAAAGGAAGACAGGTTAACAGGTCGTTAACATTATTTACACCTGGGGACTGGAATAAAAGACGGACTAACAGATGCATCTCTGTTTTAAATGTTGTGAAAAGCAATGTAAATTTTAATACATTGCTTTTACAATCAGAGAAATAACAATCAGGACATTTCTGAAAAATAGAAGTTGTGGGTTCATCCTGCGAGGCCCACACTGCCATGATGGTGGGGCGACTGCGTTCTTTGACAAGAAGCACCAGAGACAGTTTCAGTGAGCGTGTCCATTTATTAGCAGTTAGGCACAAGCTTGTATAGGGCAGGCAGAGGGGGTGTAGCTAATTCAGGGCAACACTAATTCTATAGGATAAAGGAGACACTGGCACTGCTCTGCTTCTCCAATCAGCTTGAAGGTCATGTAGCCCACATAGCCTTCCAGGTGGTCTTATGGGTCTGGGCCACACCTGGGAGCTGTTTATCTAGCTAACAGTTACAAGGTTCCTCAACAGGAAGTGGGGGTGGGGGAAATGTGCCTGGGGCCCCTGAGCCTTGCCAGAAGTCAGGTCATGAGTGGGTCTCAGGGTGCTGAGTCCTCAACCAGAGTTTTCCCTACAGGGCATGGTGTGCCACACCCTCTTGACCTCCTGCATAGGCTAGGCAGACAGTTTTCCAGCCAGGCACAGGATCACCCACAAGAAGCCCATTGAAGACTTGGGCTTCTGTCCCCATATTGACATCTATTATCTCTGCTTCCTGGACAAGTGCTTTACCCTTTCCAATCATCAGTTTTCTGTTCTGTAAAATGCGGATAGTTTCATCAGGCTTATAAAATAAGTAGGAAGCTAGAAGGATTCTTCCAAGGAAACACATAGCGCAGTACCTAGTAAATAGGAAGTGCCTCCTGAAGTGTTTGCTATTATTATTATTATTGCATATCATTCTTGCTGCTCCTCCTCCTCTTCCTCCTTCTCCCCTTTTTGCCTTGATGGCAAAAGTCGTTGGACATGCTAACAGCAGGATAGCAGCAAGACAGCACACTGAAGCATGAACAGTTAAAGAGGCCTTTTGAAAGGCATCTATGACCACTTTGACGAGTGGAAGGAAGTTGTTAAAAGCACAAAGGTTTGTACAACTAAATGCAAAAAGCAACTGCTCTAGTCTACTTTCTGTTGCTATAACAAAATACCTAAGGATGGGTACTTTTCAAGAAAAGAGGTTTATTTAACTCACAGTTTTAGAGGCCTAGGAGCGTGGTGCTGGCATCTGCTTGGCTTCTGGTGAGGTCCAAACTGCTGTTCCATACCGGGAGGAAAGACAGGAAGGCAGCAGGTGCATGCAAAGAGGAGGCAGATGTGGTGGAAACAGGAGGGAAGGGAACTGACCTGCTTTGCAATGCTCCACTTTCCCCGCGAGTGACGCTCCTCAGGGGGACTGTAGGAGTTCCTGCGTGAGGGCAGGGCTGCCGTGATCTCATTGCCTCCTAAAGGCCCCAGCACTTCTCAGCACTGCCACATGAGTTCTCTGAGGCTCCACCATAGCAGCAATCCATAACAATCAAAAGTAAAAGGAAATAAGTGAACCTATTTGTCACCATTTCTCCAAAACTCGGTAACTTGACTATATGTTCCTAATGAGCCATACTCAAAGAATAAACTACAAAGATTTTTTGCTATTTTAGTGGTCACGTTGATGGTAGTAGCATTTAATTGATATTTGGAGACTTTTCTCTAATATAGGACATATAAAATGAATAATGTGATAATGTGACAGCTGAAATTTGTGGCATGGCTGGAAAGAGGTTAAGAGTTTTAAAATCAATAAACTTAAGTGAAAATGCTGTAATCCTAAATTTGAATTGAAAGTAAATTCAGAGTATACTTACATTTTTTTTTTTTAAAGTACATGTTTCTTAGCTCTGTGTTGGGGAAAAAAAAAACTGGAAATAAGGATCAACCCAGCAACTGGAAACTCCCTTTTCACTAAAATTGTGATCTCTAAATACCAGTTCCCATTAGAAGGAGCAAGAACTCCTTGGCAGAGGGCTAATTCCACCTGTGAGTCTGCAAATGTGCAAGGTGGACTATCTAATCATGAGAAAGCAGAGGAGCTATCAAATTCTATTAGATTCATGTCATAAAGAACTCAAGAATCAACTAGAACAAGTCTCACTAACCAAAGCTGGGATATTTAAGTATCAGTAAGTATAGTAACCTCACTATATTTGAACATACCAAAACAATTTTAAAGCAATGAGTTCGTAGTTGTATCAGCAATAAAAACAACCCTGGAAGTGCAAGAGAACCACCTTGATATTTTGAAAACTTGTAAACACAAAGGGAGAGAATGAAGTAGAACTTCTATCAATTTCCAGTGCTTC